GCCTCCCGAAAGCTAAAAAGCAGGGAGCCCGCGAAAGCTTGCAGTGGAAGTGGTTGAAGAAGAGCCCGCCGCGAAAGCGTCGCGAAAGTGCATGTTTGCAGTTTCTGTGTTGCCCGCGAAAGTTCCGCGGAAGTGATCATTGCAAAACACACGCCTGCGAAAGTGAAACGTGTGCCCGCGAAAGCATCGCGAAAGCAGTTTGCTGGTAGAGGGTTTCAACTGATTGTCACGAGTCATGAGAAATTATGTTTTTTGCGCGAGAGCTATGACCACATTGTGGCTTGGAAGGTTTTGCGGCCCAGTTCGCTTTCTGCGCCCTGGCTCAGGTTGATGGCATTGCCAATGGCCGGTTCTGCCATTGACGTCGCGCTCAGCAGGTGGAAGGCCAGACAGGAAGGAAAACAACCAAGCCTTCGGCATCCGCCAGGGAACTTGTTGGCAATCGCAAGCGCATGGCATGTTCTCGATGTCTCCTGTTTTTTGGCAGGCCGGTTGGAAGTAAGCTGCGAGCTGACCATTGGTAGCTGCGTCGCGTTGTTCAACCGTTGTTCAATTCGGCGGGTGTGTAGCTAGCTGCTCGAAGATTTTGTTGGAATACCTGAGCTGTTTTCTTTTGAGCAAAACAACTTGGGTTGAGTCACCTTTGTGTTGACTTCTACTAGGCTCAAGCTCAGCCCAGCCAAGTCAATTACGCTTAAACATTTGCGCGCCCCAACCGGCACGCCTCCTTTAGCGTGGGGGCATGTAACGTGTCATGTTTTGCCTTTTGAATCTCCACACGTATGCACCTGCAAATGCATGTGTGCGACAGGTTTCGATTATGTGACATAGCCGCTTCGTTGTGAAATGTCAAGATGTACTGTGTGTGCGTGTGTTTTCGCATCCTTGGGAGTTGTAAAGCGCAAGAAGTAATGTTGCATGGAGCGTGGCCTTGGCTGTGGCTGAGACAATGCGAGCCAGGGCAACATGCCGGATTTGGTGCCCTACATCATCTATGCGGACTTTTGGCACGGGCGAACTAAAGCAACCCACCGGGATTCGAGGGACCGATTTGCTGCAGTATGAGTTGTATATGTTTGCATGGTGTTCTTGATTGTTTCATTTTGGATATCTTTGGAAGGACTGAAACGCCTCCGGTGATAGACGCTTCGTCAAGTCTCACACGCCTGAATCGAAGGTACCCCCGCAATGCGCAAACTTTGGCAACTGAGTCCAGACTGAAAAGGTAGCCCTTAGGGTGGTCAGATGTAGATGTGTTGCCCCGAGGGCTGCGAACTCGACGGTTTGTCATACGCAGCTTGCAGGCTAATTGCCCACCTTCAAAGTTGAAGGTAGGGCGGCTTTGCCTATCACCTTTGCCCACGCAAAGACAAGGTCATGTCAGCTAAGTAAGGAAGCATAGAAGGCGTTCACTGCAGGATGGTCACAACTCAGGCACTTTCCCATTTTTGTCAAGCAGCCGTTTCCCAAGGCATGTCGAACTTTGGGGATTCTCTTGTGTTGTTTGCTATTTGAGACGGTGCTTGCATCAACAAAGTGGCGCTGACCCTTCCATGACCAAACATGCAGTCAGGGTCCCAGGATTGGCAAGGTGGCTGCCCTCAGGCATCAAGGTGTCCTTGTTTGGGCCACGGGCTTGACGGGTGAAAAGCGTGTGACGGAATCGTTCAATCAGCCCAGACCTGGCTGACGACACATGATGTTTCGAGTTGTTTGCAGGAGAATGGCAGAGCGAGTCTTAAGGAGGACCTTGAATGGGGGCTCCTGGATGCAGGAGATCTTGCTTGTGCCCCCAAGCCTAGGACTTCGGCGCAACGTTCCTTTGGACCATTGTCTGCCTGAAAGTCCTCCTCTTCGTGAGCTACCGGTTTGCTGCACCATGGAAGGACGGGATTGCAAGTGGACTTTGTGTCATGGTTTTACCTGTGCTCAATGCGTTATGTTGCCGACATAGTATTGTGTCAGGTATAGAATGAGGCGCCACAGTTGTAATGTGCTGCTTGGATCTGCTGGGGTTTCTTGCTTCAGTGAGTGTATAGCTGACACTTTCCTTGCTTGCATCCAGCAAAACAAGAGTTGTCATGACCAGACAGTCTGTGTGGTGTCTACATGATGATGCTTAATGGTTTCATTTGGATATGTTAAGCTTATTCATGTTTTGCCAGTGATCAGGCACACTCATGGGCGTTCATGCCTGCTCATGCTTGATCATGCATCGCCAGCGACCCTGCGCGGCGCCTGCCTTGAGCGGGGGTGAGGCAGGTCAGGTGTTCCAAAGTCGGGAATGTAACAATCTTGAGTCCCTATGTTCCCCCCGTTTTCCCCTCTTGGTGGTTGTCAACATCACCTGGCTGTTTGGGGTGCGCCAGGGTTGTGACTCCCGCCCTTTGGGATTGCTTTGCCCCAGTTTCCGGCTCATGAGCCCTTTCTCAGGTCTTCGTTTTCCAACATTTGAGGGGCCTTCGCAGGAGGGTGCCATGGACTACGCGCAGAGCGCGTTCCTTTGCGTGATTCCGTGTTCCATCTACGCTCTCGGCACGGCCATGGCTACATGGGCCATGAGCCTGGGCCAGGCAGCCTCGGTGATTTGGCTGCTTCTGTGTGCCTCCTGCGCTTTTCTGTCCCTTTTCTGCCAGGGCCGATGTGCCCGCCGGCAGGAGCTCGACTGAGTAAGAGGACCAAGCAGATTACACATGTTGATTGGGTTTCAATGGAACTCGAACAGGCCACAGTGATTTGGACGCTTGAACACTCATTATGTTAATTTTGAGGATAACATAAGTGAACTAGGTACCCCATGTTTGCACAATTATGTGACGGGTAACCACTCGAGAACCGGTGATCCTATTTGTGACTCAAACACGCATTTGAGAATTCTATTCTGTAGGAATTCATAGATTTGGTGTCCTGACCTAGATAGAGAAAGTCAGGTGCTTCCACTCCATTTTGCCAGGCGAGCGTTGTGCTAGTCGAGCATTAGAGCTGTCATGCTCATAGAACATGGGTAGCACACTCGGAATTTTGTAGAGCTCTCCTGGTCTCAGTCGAGCAAGAAACTCGACAAGGCAGCGTATGTCGAGCAAGCAGCTCGACATATGATCAATACGGCAAAGCAGCACGGCATCAACCAAAGTGCTATTCGATGCTTCCAGCTTGACGGGTTCCCCGCTCAAATATGAGAGAACATGAGCAACTGGTGGCTTTCATTAGGGGCCGGGGATTGGAAAGAGGAAGTTACGCGACCCCCCCCTAAGTGGGGGGTCGGCCCGGACTGGGGTTCCGGAAGAAGTTGCTTTGTCCTAGCTTGCTGTGGGCTAAGAGGAACTCTTTGCCCTTCAGCATTATGATTGTAAAGAACAAACCCCGAAGCCTTCCCTCTCCAGTGGCCCTGGCTGCTACTATCGGGCTTCCAGCATACCAAGGGTGCCAGCAAGGTGTGGCATGGGTAATTGCTGTAATCCCTCCCCCCTACTGCTAAACGCCCCCCCCCCCATACAAAGTGGGTCCCCGGGAGAAAACGGTTCTAGCTCCGCTTCGAAAGCCGCAGCTTTGTAGTACAGCCGTAGTACAGGGACGGTTCGGCATTGGGGAGAAGGGATTCTTCTGCTGAGCTGTAGCGGGTACTTCTGACAGTCGTTGTCACGACTTCAGTGTTCTCCTTCCTTGCGACCATGCCCTCGAAGGGACCTTGGATTTGCCTCCCTGGACTGCTTGTCCTGCGGGGTGCAATCTATTCAAGGCATTTGTCAGAGGCAATTTGGAAGTTGCAGGCCCTGTTCTGATGCCGTGATGCGAGCCGCAATCTGTCGGTTCGCTGAACTCTTAATGCACCATGCACTGTTCTACGCCGAATCCGGGACGTAAGCTTGCCCGGCTCGCCGCCATCCGCATGTCCCGTTGGCCTCCAGTGAGAAAGCACCAACGTGCGGGAACCGCCGGTGCTGCAAGTGGGTTCCGGTTCTGGATGCTTTGTACGGTTCGTTCGGTAACACTAGGCCGTCAGAGGCTTTCTAACTTCAGGACAAACGCGGGAACAGGGTAGCAATTTTGTGCTTCAGGAAGTGGATTTGTGGGCCAGCGGGGGTCGTGAATGTCGGGGCCATTTTGCGCAGTGTGCGGCGGCTGGTTGCGCTCGCCCCTCCGTCCGTTCAGCTTCACACGGCGTGCTGCTTTCTAACCTACTTTTAGCAGACACCGCGCAACTTGTGCGTTTGCATGTGTGTTTGTGTTTCCCGTCACGCTGTATTGTTTAACCTCGGGTTGCACCATTCTGAGTGTTTGCTCTAAGCGGCCATGCAATCTTCGATGACCCATGGCTTTAAGACAAGCTCACCGTTTTCGGAGATGGCTGAATGGAAGAAGGCTGGTCCCAGTGCTTTTTGCTGGCCGCTGACCGCACCTGCCAGCGATTGACAGATGCCATGCAACAGAATATGCATGTTGGCTGACTTGTGCGTGTACGTGAATCACATGTGTTGCTTCCTCATGTCATATTATTGTCGACTGCAGGCATGGAAGTTGGCTTTGCCAGCTCTCAGCCGGCCATGTTGCGGTCTGTTGCTGGCTTAAGGGGTTTGGGCTATGAATTTCCAGAAGATCCGGCGCATATGTAGGGCTGAAACGGGCAGCTCGCTTTGATCTCACTGATGTGTCAAGGCTGGCTTTCAAACTGTTTCCGAAGGTGGAACTGATGCTCGTCATCGTCCGGCCCTGCGCCAAATGAGTTTTTGGCCGGAAAAGTTGGACATGTGCGGCGCTCGCTCGGCTGTCCAGGGCGTAATTAATGTATGATGCTTATGACTCCCCGAATTAAATACTGGTCACCAGGGCTGCTGGAAATGAGTTGGACATTGAACAGTTGCCTTGATCGAAATCCGGGCTCTTGTTTGGCCAGAATTGCTGGGTGACCAATGGCTTTGTGCATGGAGGCAATGCTTGACATTTCTCCAACCACACAGGCCGCGGGTTAAGCCTTGGCCCGAGCCATGCGCACGCCCAAGGTGATGCTTATGATTGCCGAGACATGGGCGCGGCCCTGAGAAACTTCTATTCGTGAGGGTTCTGGGAAAAAAACAACAACAACAACAGCGTGTCATGGGGGGCAGGGTGCTTTCGGAAACATTCAGCATGCTCGCAGGAGGTTCAAGAAGTGCATATTTTAGACATTGGTCGAACAGGCACTCCATATTTGGATGTTTGTGCTGCGAGTCCCTGTGGTTCAGCCAGCTGGGTCAGCTTGACTCAGCAGGCCCGTGAGCATGGCCCATGCATGTCGATTCAGACAGGCGAATGTAATGTGTTGTGCATGTGGTGTTTGGAACTAAACCGGCTCACTCAACTGCAAGTTGCTGCAGCAGCCAGCCAACTGCAAGCCGGTATGCGGTATGCGTGAACTAAAGTATGTGTTGGTTTGCTTCAAATGTTGTCACCTAGTATGACTGTCGCCCGTAGACCTGTAACGGCCTGTAGGTCCTTTTTCACCATGGGAAGAAAGCTTGGGGCACATGGCACTTGACCAATAGAACATAATAGCACTTTGAACTTGGCGCTGAGTTGCGCTGAGTCGTGTTGGGGAGGGGTCTGGGGGCGCAGGAAGCAACACATTGCTGCCATTGGCTCTTGTATTGCTCCACATTTGCTGTAATTAGATGGGAAAGTGGCAGCATTTTGCAGCCATCGCCAGGAGAAAAGTGATGAGGCAACCGCATCCTGGTCCGAAAAGCCGGAATCTCGCGCTAAGATCCTGACCTTGGTGGTTCTCTCCATCGGCGGCGTGCAGGGCACCATGCCCACAGGTGAGACGGGTGCGATCGCGCGATCGCGGGTTCCAAATTGGATCGGGTCCACTAGGCAAGCAAACGGTTCTAGAGCTGTCTATCAGTGCTGGAGAAGGGCTTCGTACTAGGGTGGGGGCGTCCAACCATGATTTGTTAGACAAACTGCGTAGTCAGAAGTTGAGTGTTACTGGTTGCCTGATTTGATCAAGATTTGGAGGTCCTTGGAACAGTGGTGGCAACAACGTTTGAAATTTGAAGCTGTTATTATCCTCTCTTTTTTGTCGCTCTCCGGGATTAGGAGGCAGAAAAGGGCGTTTTTGACCTGGGGGCGTGGTGGGTGCCAATGCAGATTCTGAAGGGGTTCATTTTGCGAGGGCTTGAGCGTCAGCAACCTGGACAAGATAGCTTCCAATACCTGTAGTTAGCAGTAGGGAAGTAGGGAAGCCAGCATTCAAAGCCAAAAGGCGCAATTCTTGATTACCTACTATGGCAACTAGGAGCCTGAGGGTTTGTGGGAGACCTTTCATTTCGGCTTCTACCTTTGCAAGTACAGTTCAATGTTTTTTCTACCCTCTTTGGCATAGCTTTTCCTGTAGGGAGTAGAAGGTTTCAATCAGATCATTTGCGAGAACACCCTTACGCCTATTGCCGGTTCTCATTGAGAACCCTAATGTGAGAACCTGGGGCCGGGTCGGGTCAAAATACAAAAGACCAAGCCATATGATAAGTGGTTCGCCGGCTGACCCAAAAGATTTTTGTGTCAAAGGTATTTGAAACCATATAGTGTAATGTGGTTGACTGAGGGAACAAGGCCCCGGCACGAATGATTTGGGATCCCAGAGAAAAACGGTTGGGGTCAGAGTGGCCTCCCTCAAGTCATTTGGGGTCAGTATTGGTTTAGTATTGCCTTGGATGCCTTAGTGCTGGCCATGTGGTGAAAGGTGTTCCCCCGCAAAGGCTCCGCGATGGACGTCGCACGAGTTATTTGTTTGGGAAAGCTTTGCCAGAGTGCAAGCTTTAAAAGTCGCAAAAACTTTGTTTGTTGTTCGCTAAGATGGCATGTCCCGGCACAAGGATTCTGAAGCAACCGCCAGACCTACACATCCCACATGCGCCCAGCTAGCGTGGAATTCTGCCAAACATACCCCGAAAACAGGTGCTTCTTGGCCCTTGTTTTTATTGACAGGTCCCTGTTGGCTTTCCGTTTGGCTTCTTTTCGTTGTTCCGGATGTTCCGCCATCCGTCTTGTTTTGTTTGTGTTTCTTTGCTTGGACTTCTCGTTGTTTCCGTTGCCTCTAACCTCTTGGTGGGTAACGTCCACGGCTCCGTCAGCTTTGCAGGTCCCTTGCGGCTCTTGCGGCTTCTTCGCCTGAGCCGTTTGGTGCGGCTGCTGCGGGAGATGCCGGAGCTGCTGACCTTGATCAACGGCATGCGGGTGGCGGCACGCGCGCCTTCGGCCAGTGGATGTTCTTCGTGAGTTTACTAGTCCGATTTCATTAGATTTATTTGAGACGGTGTCATTCTTTGTCCAACGTTAATTCAGGTGTGTTTGCTCTTTGTGAGTAAGAAGCTTTCGGCTTGATGGGACATCCAACATGCAACACCCTATCCCAGAGCGTTCTTTCACCGTCATCACAGTTGCGACACCCCAGTTGGCCTACTGCTGGATTGACTGAGCCGAAATGCGTGCATGGTCGTCACCTGCGTGTAAAATATTGTCCTTGCGCCTCAGGAACTACGAAACCTTTAATTATAGCAATCAGTGAGGATCAAATGGGCGAGCCGGGACCCAACCACGTCGATCATAGCTGGACCCCTGAAGACGGTCCACGCGTTTAGTTTTTCTTCCTCCAATCGCCACACGCTGGAACGTGGCAAGAGGCCGAGGCCAATGGAGGTCGTTGCAATTGTTCGGGCTTATTCTTGCCCTTGGCCTTGCACCACATGGGTGTTGTTTGAATAGAGCCCGACAATATTCTTGAAAAAACCAAACAATTTAAGACAGTTGGCCAACTCCAAATACTTGATGGGGAGAAGTTTCCCTCCTTGTATGGGCAAGGATGCCATTGAGTATTTCAGTACAAGTAATATATTTTTATCTAACAGTATCTATCACACAAACAATGGCAACATATTAAACACATATTACAACAAGTCAGACCAAAATCATTATCAAAGTAATTAATCTTAATGTTGGACTAGGTCAAAGGGTGTGGTGGGCTGGGAATTGGACTGAATTTGGCCTCCTATTTGGCCATTGGGCACTGGTATGGAGTGCCGAACCGCGGCCGTTCCAAGGCGGTCTCCTCAGCGCTCCTGCTGGTGATCCTGCTGAACTATGTGCGACTTGGGCGCAACGTACACCCATTAAATCCCACGAAGCTGAAGGAAGCTGCGGTAGGGTATGTTTATGAACAAGGACCGTGTTTTCGCGGGGTTTAGCCAGATGCGTGGCCTTGGGATTGCCAGTGCGTTGCATCAATATTCAAGAATTGTCCAACGCCGCAGTCTCCGGTGCTGATGTTCATTGGCATTTGGCGACCAGCAAGACCGCCGGGGGTTCAAGTACAGCGCAGTTCGTGTAGTGATGGTGAAACGTATTGAGTTTGGGCAATCATGTTTGTGTGTGTGTTCAGGACTTGTATAAGTATTAGGAGCAAGGGTTGCCTGCTGTGCTCTGGTTGTTTTGGCCCAGAGTCTCCTATTCTTTGCGATGCCGAGGTTCGCCATTGTGCTTCTCATGTTCCTCGCAGATATCCCAGAAGTGACTGAAGCTCGGCGCAGCAAGGCCATCGATTCGATTCTGGGCGATCCCGATTGCACGAAAGGTGGAATCTAAACGCATACCCGACAAGCCATTGCACGAAACGAGGCATACCCAATGCTTGCATTAGCTGCGTGATGGAATTGGCCTCATTCAATGTTTTGTGCAACATATCATTTTTTTCAATCATCGGAACTTGAGCTGACGGCTGCCGCCCCACTTCAGCCAAGGATCATTTCGGCACCTTGGGACTGTGCACCTTGGCTCAGATTAAAATGGATGGTTCCTGTAAGTTCAAATGAGCTTGGAGTCGGACCCCAAGGTCCGCACGGGAGTCGGACCCTAGGAGGTCCGCACGGGTTCAATGCGGGCAGGATCCCCGAATGATTCCTTGCCTCCAGTGAACACGTCGGAATGGGCTTTTGCAGTTTGCATGATCAGCAAATGCTTTGCCGAACCTGGTGGTTACGGTGAGTGCTCCGCAAAGCCTCGGCACTGTACAGGGAGAGGGGGTAAACTTAACCTTCCCTCTGCAAGGGGAGGTTTTCTGATGATTGCCTAGCACTTCGCCAACCAACATGGGCATAGTTAGCATCAGAACCGAGGTATGTGGACCTTAGCGCTGGATGGCACCTTCATGGATGGCAGCTCGGCGCGTCGGGCACTACTGCCCTGTGTTTGTGTGTGTGTGCTTTTTCCTTGGGGGTGGCCTTTCAAGAAGGCTTTCGTTTAACCCCTCCAGGGAACAGCAACAATCAAGTGCGCACAAAAGACACCTCCTTTATCATACAATGCTTACTTTGGCTTCACCAGCCTCTGTGGGACGGATGGGTAGGATGTGCGAATGGGTGAGGCCGAGTCCATGTTTGCTCTTCCCAGATGTCATCCACGGTTCCGACCTGCACTGACTCAAAGCGTGCAGGATCTTGGGCCGTGCAGAGATGCTGGGAGCATGGAGTGCGTTACCAAGTGTCAGCCGAAATTTAGAAGCAAGCCTGCCTCACCACAACTGTGCTTCCGCGTGTGTTTTTGTTCGAAGGGCAGAACATCAATTCTTGAGGCAGTTCATGTGATATGCGAAGCTGCATGATGGTCGGCAAGTTCTGGAGTCGAAATCGGTGCCCCTGGCACAGGCAAGGGCTCTAAGGCAACATGTCGTTCACACTGTTTTTTGCCGGTTGCGTTTGTTTGTTGTTCTTTGTTTGTGTGTGTGGGTTGCTTGCTTTCACTGTTGGCCATGTTATTGTTCACAATAGGCCCTTCTTCTCGCCAATCATGGGTGTATGTCAATGTGATTGTTAGTGTACATTGAAGTGGGGTATAAGATCAACGCTTGACCTGACTCGTCCTGCTGACATTGAAATCTTTAGCTTCATCCGGAGGCTGGAAGAACCAATGCGGGGGTCGTGATGGCATGATGGCATGATGGCATGATGGCATGATGGCATGATGGCATGATGGCATGATGGCATGATGGCATGATGGCATGATGGCATGATGGCATGATGGCATGATGGCATGATGGTGGTTCATCAAGCTTCCACGCCATGAGAAGGATTTAGATGTCGCTGAAAGCTCAACTGATAGCCAGGTCCCAACATATCCAGAGAAGCTTCAAGCGGCCAACCCATGCGGCCACGAAGCCGCAATCTGCCTGAGGCACCAAAGACATCTTGCAGGAGCTCAGGTGCCGTGATTTGGACAGGGGAGGGGTACAAGCTCCAGTGTATACTGAACTTGTTGGTCATACTGATGCACGAACTCCGCTTCTCACCAGTTCGGATGACCACCTTTTCTGGAATAACCACCTACCAACGGGTGGAGTTCGTCCATCCACTGCAATCTTCCCAGACTGGCGGGGCTTTTTTGAGAGCAGATGAGGCTGTTCTTGATCACCCGAGACTTCGAAAAAGGACAATCGCTATGCACTATGCTTGAAGCCGCAACCTTTGCTACTGCCTTCAGCCTTGGGTACTGGTTCTGTGACAGTTTTTGGATTTTGTTGACATATATTCCCATCCCTCCTGGCAAGGTTTACAAGCTTGAGCAAAGGCATTGGAGTTGCGGTTGTAAGTGCAAAGGCCAATCAACATGATGCTGGAAGAAACAGAGATTTGGCAGACGTGTTGCTCTAGCTGGGGCCAACTTAAATAGAGGATTCAGGCATGCTAGAAAGTGTGCTTTATGAGCATTGGATTAGTATGACAACCTCTTGGGGGTCGCAAATATGCATCTCGTTCCCCATAGGCTCCCTAGTTTCCATGTTCCTGTTGAGCCAGGTCCGTGCTTTTCTCCAGATTTGTTTGGTATGTGTTTGTCAAATCCATGCATTCCTCAAAAATTCAATTATGCAAGGGAGTCTCTGTTTGGTCGGCGGAAAGGATAGGGAAGTAGCGGCTTTGAAAGAATTATAACAAACGTTATATTATACACAGCTTTCCTGAACCGCCATTGTTCTGAGTCTGGTTTGAGCCCATGAAGCTTGTTGGAAAGGCATCGCGGGCCCCTTCCCACACGCCAAGGATCCTCGACACGCAAGGGCGCCTTGGCAGCTGCCAGGATCCTTTCCTGGTCCTAGTCAGTATCATCCTGTTGGCGTCTACCCTCTGCGAGTGGGACAAGCCTTCGATCGGGATTGTTTGGAGTTCAACAAACCGATGTTTCGGTGGCTGGTGTCCCCTGACCACCCCAGCAGTGGCGAAATCCAAGCCTAAAGAAACCGGGCAAGAAACAAATGTGGCTGGCTGTGAAATTGTTTTGCAATGGTCAAACTGAGCACAGCCAGCTCTATGATATGTATAGAAGGCTTATGTATCCTTGAGGTAGTGATAGCGGCGTGCCGGCAGACCAGTTGGAGGTTGTGCGTGTTGCTTGCTTACAGGCTCAGGCTTCACGCAAGGAGAAGGGCTTTCGTTTTCTCTTTCCCTGCCTTGTTGGCTCAGCCTAAGGTACAGCTGGTTGCTGGGCTGGGGCATGATTTCTGTTTTCACCCTCTACGTGCTGCTTACCAATGTGACGGCGCTTTGGCTGCGAGATGGTTGGCTAGGGCGGTCGGTGCGAATGATTTGCGTGAAGGCGCCTGGAACGCTGGCCCGTGGCGTCAGTATGAGAATGGTTATGTTTTTGCTTTTTTCCTTGGGTGGCCTAGGCCGCAGACACTGCTCTTATTGTGGCGGAGGTAGGGGCATGACCTGCCTTTGGCACCGTACGCAGTTGAATCAATATACGTTGGGACAAGAATGCTATAACTGGAATCGCCCTGGCTTAGATCACGCGAACTGAAATGGCGCATTGGACCAACACTGCACAGCAACAACTTGCATTGGCGCATGTTGCCCTTGGCATGTTCTGCGACTACTAATTGTCCTGCTTGCTTGATCTTAGTCCGATTGACGTTTGCCAAATTAGTGTGGATGTTTAGGGAATGAACTTCAAGGGACTGGCTGTGGTTGACCAAGCTGCAAACAAGTCTAAGCGGTCAGTGCTGTTGTGCGTGTCAATGTTGTAGGGTGTTGTAAATAGGGTAACATGCTAATTGGCAACAGACAGCTGAAGGACATGCATAACTTCAATGATTAGTTTTATGGTCGGGTGAAGCTCACTACGCATCCTTCTGCGCTTGACATTGTGCTTCTCCGTTTGTGCAGCTCTTTGACATAAATTATACATATACTTTAGAGCCTCCGGCTCAGTCCGCCGACATTGTCCTCCCCCTTTTCTCCTTCTTCCTCTCTCCCTTGTCTTTTTCGTGTGTTCTGTCGTCCTTTGTCCCTCCCTCTGCTCCCCATCCTCCCCATTCCCCCCAAGCCTCTCTCTCCCGAGTCTTCCTCTCTCTGTCTCTCTCTGTCTCTCTCTATCTCTCTCTCTCTCTCTCTGTCCGTCTCTCGCTCTCTCTCTCTCTCTCTCTCTCTCTCTCTCTGTTTCTCTGTCTCTTTCTGTCTGCCTGTCTCCTTCCTGTCCACGCCCCTCTCTTTCTCGCTCTTTGTCTCCGTCTCTCTCTCTCTCTCTGTCTGTCTCTGTCTCTTTCTCTGACTCTGGCTCTGTCTCTGTCTCGCTTTGTCTCTCTTTCTCGCTCTCTGTGTCTCTCTTTCTCTCTCCCTGTCTCTCTCTCTCTCCCGCTCTCTCCCTGTCTCTCTCTCTCTCTCTCTCTGCATTGCAGCGTCACGTCCCCTGAGTTGCCTCGATATCCCGGCACTGCCCCTTCATGACCCTGAACTGTCATGTCACTACTGGCTTTCCCCTTGATTTCCCCTTCATGTCCTTTTCACGTTTCCCGTGATGTCCCGGTCATGTCCCTTCCATTCCTTTCAACTCCCCCTTCATGTCCCTGACATTTTCTCGGTATGTCCGTGTGATTTTCCATGTATGTCCCGTTCTTTCGTTGCGAGTCATTTCCCATCTCCCGTCGTGCCAATCGGTTTCATTGCGCTTTGTTTCCTTGCCATTCCCCCTGCACTCGTTTTCATTTCTGTCCCTGTCATGTCCCTTTCAGTTCCCCTTTGTTTCCCTTTCATTTCCCGTTGCTTTCCTGACATGTGGACTTCCTATTTCCTCCCCTCATTTCCTTGCACTTCCTGGCATTTCCCCTTTGCTCCCCAGTATTTCCCGCAAAAAGACACTGTTTTTTTTCCAGCGTTTTCGCAAAGAGGGCGTCCAACAACACAGAGTTTTTCCAGATTGTTCCTTGCACTTCCTTGCATTTCCCCTTGGCTCCCTAGTATTTCCCACAAAAACACGGTTTTTCCAGCGTTTTCGCAAAGAGGACCTCCAAAAGAAAATCTGCATAAGCAAGCAGGAAACCCAAACCAGCAAAAAGCCGGCAGGGGGAATCGAGCCTGGGACCCCTGTTTTTCGACACCGGCTCCCCGAAGACTACGTTTAGTGGAACGTCATCAAATCACCGCGCGGTACGTGGGGAACCCCCCCCCCCTTCCCCCCCCCTGTACCCCACGTATCAGACGTCGGGCGGGGCGGGGGTTTAGGGGGGGGTTATCCTCTATCCTCTCTTAGGTGTCCGACACGCCGAGCAATGTCGGCGGATATATGTATATATATATATATATAGATATATTATAAGAAGAAAACAATAATAAATAAATATTTACACGCTGACGCGACACAGCCGGCCACCGGGCACCTTGCCTTGCCCGTTCTGTCACTTCCCTTTCCGGTAAGTCCGATGAGTAGATGTTAAGATTTAAAAATTCTAAACACTTTGAGATTCTAAGGGTCTCAGATTTGAAGACTTTTGGAATTTAAGGCTTCAATGGTTTAAGAATTAAGGTTTTAAGATTCAAAGACTTAAGGTGTTTGAAAGTTATAACAGCCAGGCCATTGCCCAGCCATTTTCCATCCATTATCAGATTTCGAAGGCTTTAAGATTTTATTTTTGGTGAGATTTTCAGATTTGGCGGCGACTTTCGGAATGTAAGATTTTAAGATCTTAAGATGTCAAGACTTCAAAATTTCAAGATTAAGAGTTTAAGGAATTTAGAATATAGCCCGGATTGAAGGAATTTTATTATATTTTACTTGTTTATGAATTTAAGATTTTCAGATTGCAATAGTTCGAGATTTAAAGAATTTAAGTTTTTGAAGCTTTTAAGATTCTGAGATTTTAAGAGTTTGAGAATTTCGGAATTTCATATTTTAAGATTTTAATATCTGAAGATTCAAAGACATGAGGGTTTCTGTCACTTCCCTTTCCTGTAAGTCCGATGAGTAGATGTTAAGATTTCAAAATTCTAAAAACTTTGAGATTCTAAGGGTCTCAGATTTGAAGACTTTCGGAATTGAAGGTTTCAATGGTTTAAGAATTAAGGTTCTAAGATTCGAAGATTTAAGGTTTTTGAAGGTTATAACAGCCAGGCCATTGCCCAGCCATTTTCCATCCATTATCAGATTTCGAAGGCTTTAAGATTTTATTTTTGGTGAGATTTTCAGATTTGGCGACTTTCGGAATTTAAGATTTTAAGATCTTAAGATGTCAAGACTTCAAAATTTCAAGATTAAGAGTTTAAGGAATTTAGAATATAGCCCGGATTGAAGGAATTTTATTATATTTTATTTGTTCATGGATTTAAGATTTTCAGATTGCAATAGTTCGAGATTTAAAGAATTTAAGTTTTTGAAGCTTTTAAGATTCTGAGATTTTAAGAGTTTGAGAATTTCGGAATTTCATATTTTAAGATCCCCAGCATCACCCGCATCGCCAGCATGCATAACATCATCCGCATCATCCGGGATGGTGCTGGCAATGCTGGGGGTGTTGTCCAGTACTAGGCACCTCCTAAAAATGCTCGTTTTTGGGCGCTGCGGGGAGGTGCTACAAAAATCCTCGAAAATCGCCTAAACCAATCCGCAAATCCTTCGCCCCTTATAAGGGAGGGCCCAGCCCAAAACGTACCCGCATGGTCGGAGCATGGTCCGCTCATGGTCGGCGGCATGGGGCGCGCGGCCTTATACCTGAAGGTAAGCCCTAACGGGCTTTGGCCTGCGGCCCGATCACGTCCGGTGGCCGGATTTACACGCTGACGCGACACAGCCGGCCACCGGGCACCCTCCCGTTCTTTCATCTCGTTTCCCTCTAAGTTTCCTGGCATGTCCCTTCACTTCCTTCCACTTCACTGCCGCTTCAGCTCCCTTCATTTCCTTGAAGACTCCTTCATTCGCATTCCTTTCCCTTTTCGATCTTTCATTTTCCTGCAGCTTGGTTTCTCTCCAGCGCCCTCTTCATTTTCGTGCAATGCCTTTGACTTGCATTTCGTTCACTTCCAGTCACTCCTGTTTCCTTTCAGCCCCTTGTTTCGCATCGCCAGCATGCATAGCATCATCCGCATCATCCGGGATGATGCTGGCAATGCTGGGGGTGTTGTCCAGTATTAGGCACCCCCCAAAAATACTCGTTTTTGGACTCGTTTTTGGATGCTGCGGGGAGATGCTACAAAAACGCCTAAACCAATCCGCAAATCCTTCGCCCCTTATAAGGGAGGGCCCAGCATAAAACGTATGCGCATGTTCTGGTCATGGTCCGCGCATGGTCGGCGGCATGGGGCGCGCGGCCTTATACCTGAAGGTAAGCCCTAACGGGCTTTGGCCTGCGGCCCGATCACGTCCGGTGGCCGGATTTAAGGGCTGCTTAATATTTCCCCTAGATTTATTTACACGCTGACGCGACACAGCCGGCCACCGGGCACCTTGCCCTGCCCGTTCTGTCACTTCCCTTTCCTGTAAGTCCGATGAGTAGATGTTAAGATCTTAAAATTCTAAAAACTTTGAGATTGTAAGGGTCTCAGATTTGAAGACTTTCGGAATTTAAGGTTTCAATGGTTGAAGAATTAAGGTTTTAAGATTCAAAGATTTAAGGCTTTTGAAGGTTATAACAGCCAGGCCATTGCCCAGCCATTTTCCATCCAAGGCTTTAAGATTGTATTTTTGTGAGATTTTCAGATTTGGTGACTTTCGGAATTTAAGATTTTAAGATCTTAAGATGTCAAGACTGCAAAATTTGAAGATTAAGAGGTTAAGGAATTTAGAATATTGCCCGGATTGAAGGAATTTTATTATATTTTACTTGTTTATGAATTTAAGATTTTCAGATTGCAATAGTTCGAGATTTAAAGAATTTAAGGTTTTGAAGCTTTTAAGATTCTGAGATTTTAAGATTTTGAGAATTAGGAGTTTCATATTTTAAGATTTAACATCTGAAGATTCAAAGACATGAGGGTTTCTGTCACTTCCCTTTCCTGTAAGTCCGATGAGTAGATGTTAAGATTTCAAAATTCTAAAAACTTTGAGATTCTAAGGGTCTCAGATTTGAAGACTAAGGTTTCAATGGTTGAAGAATTAAGGTTTTAAGATTCGAAGATTTAAGGCTTTTGAAGGTTATAACAGCCAGGCCAGTGCCCAGCCATTTACCATCCATTATCAGATTTCGAAGGCTTTAAGATTTATTTTTTGTGAGATTTTCAGATTTGGCGACTTTCGGAATTTAAGATTTTAAGATCTTAAGATGTCAA